GGGGTGACTATCTGATGCCCTGGTGGTGCTAGTGGTGGTGGTTAGCTCATGATTTGGGCAATAATTTATACGCCAATGCTCACGCGGATGCGAAATGTCCTGCTGCGCGTAAACAGGAAACAAATTACGCTCGAGAGCAGTTATGAAATTCCATAAAGGCCGACGCGCCTTGGCACTGCTACGCTCCTCATGCTCCTGATCATCCTCTTGCTCATCCTCATCGTCGGCCACATCATCTGACTGGACAGGAACAATAATGCATTAGACAGCCACATTTATCGTCGCACAGGATGCGCTGCCAAGGATGCGGCTGCCAGAAGATGAGCCCACTGCCCACTGACAATGGCTGCAGGCTTAGCGGCGGGCGTTCCATCTAATGCCGCCAGCACGTGGAGACCCATGCGAACAGGATGCGCCGCACCTCAAATCCGTCCAGGCCATTGTCATGTGAACCGTGGACGCCTGCCAGCAGCCTTAACCCCTTGATCAGCGAACCGCGCAGAGCTTTTCCCCTCTCCATTCGAAATGTCGAGCTACAAAGGAGAATTTTTAAAATTTAATCACATTTGCTAGAGCTATTCTATTATTCTTATTTTAAGCACTTGCATTATATTTTAGTCTGTAATTAAATATCTGCTCAACTCTTTTTCTCTGGCTCTGCTCTTTGGCTTAAGTGCTTTGGCACTCGGCAGGCACCACCGCACCACACGGACGTCCAGTTGCTGCTCATCAATCGTTGTCAGCCGCCACAGAGGGTTGTGCCAGACAACCACAGCAAAGACCACAGCGGTGGCTACTCTCGCTGTTGTTGTTGTTGTTGTTGCTGTTGTTGATGGTGTTGATGGTGTTGTTGACGTCGCTTCGGCTTTGGCTTGACAAATGAAATGTCTCGCACCTAATCAAATTTTGTTCAACTGAATGCGCCTCGCAGTTTCCGCTGCTTATTATGCAAATGCCAAAGACGAGGCTCCTGTTCCTGCTCCTGCTCCTGCTGCTGTTGCTGCTGCTGCTGCTGCTTTTCCTGTTGCCGCACGCAAATCACTCGCATCGTGTTGCAAATTTATCATCATTTAATTTCCATTTGGCGTCGTGCCATGTTAATGACGTTGTTGACATCACTCGAGAGCGCGTCTCGAGTCTCTCCACTGAGCAGAGCTGGCGAATCGCTGTTATCCTTTTACCTTTTACCTTTTACCACTGCTGCAGTTGCTCGCTGCATTTGCCTTTTGCCGCTTGCCGTTTGCTTTGACGCGCCTTGACAAATTATGTCCCAGTTGGCATCGCGCATACGCCTCGTGGGCCGCCCTCAATGCTCAGTGCACAGTGCTCGATGCTCGGTTGCTCATTTGCCTAAGTGCGCTGTGTGTAGAGGCTTTTAATTAATTGTTAGCAGCGACTTATTGACGGTCTGGTTGGTTAGCTCGGTTGCCCATAACAACAACAACAGCAACAACAACAAATACGGCAACGACAAAAAATGTCAAACTAGCACTTAAAAGCCGCCACGCTTTGCTACTTGTCAACCACGCGACATCCCCAACAATATGCTTTACGTCCAGACCGAAACTCAAGTTTCAAGACCCCAGGAAATTACACTAGACAACAAAAGTGCATACGAAACTATTATATATCGAACTAGGCATATCGAACCCAAATGGGAGTTTGAATATTTTTGTAATATTTCATCCATTATAATTACATTTGTTAAACATTTTTCTTCACTTATTTTGTTGGTCAGTGCTGCGCAAACCATCCCCTGTGCATTGGAAAATATGAAACAGTTTGACAAAAGCAACCACCCACAAATTAGGCTGTGCCACCAGACGCAGGGCGGACATCGTACTCCTGCTGCGGCTTCAATTCCAGCTCCTGCTCCTCCCACACAGTCGCCATATTGGCCAGAGGTCTGCGACAGCCGCAGAGCGGGAAGGCGGCAGTCCGCCAACGCGAATGCAAACGCCACTGGCAATCTGCCTCTTGACCCCTTTGCAGAGCGCGACATTTATGGCATTTAGCCTTCCGCGTAAAAACGATATGTTGCAGTCGACCTCGCGGCAATTGTTGTAGCGAATTGTATCACCTTTATGCTAATCCGTCTCGCTAATCCGCCGGATTAGCGATTCGCTTAAAAAAACAGACGGCAACAAAGCAAAAACAATTTGGAAAATCGACGAAGACCAGACATCGAGCAGCAGCGACGTCGCGAAGGACAATATCTGTGTGTGTGCCTCTGTGGTTAATCCGGGTCCCGAAGTGCCATCGGGACAGGTAAAACAAAAAGCAGAGAGAAAAAACTGAAGCAAAATAAAGAAATAAAGCACCTAACAATCCCGCCGCATTGCACACTCCTTTTGCTTTCCGGCGACGCAGACGCTAATCCGCCAATAAAGTCTTAAAAAAAGAAAATATTGCTGCGATTTGTTTTTGTCGCATCGTCCTTTGTCCAGACCCTCGTCCTTTGTCTTGCAAAATTATTTTCGTACACAAATCGCAGAAACAGGGCTATATACTTAAAACACAAGTAGGTACGGCGTACACTATTTAATCCGCAGTCATAAACGTAGATATATTTTTAGCTCGTTTAACTGCCCCTATGGAGTTGGATGAGCAGAAGGTGTGATAAGAAGACGGGACTTAGGAATTCAGATTATATATAATGGGAGTCTAAATTGATTTATTCATTGATGAGATAATCGAGTTAGATAATGAGATAAGTTACTTATATATCTTACATTATGATAGATTATATTAGAGTATAAATCGATAATAATAGCAATTGAAATCTTAAGCTTCAATGCAACCTGCAATCTTAAAATCCATAATTTAAAATATAATTTAGTACATGATTATATATCCATTTTGTCTATGTTTAATGCTGAATACATTCTAATTACCTAGAACGAATTAATTCCAGGCACAATCAATTATTATAATATTATATAATCAATTTCCAATTACTATTTTAATAAGTCAAAGGACTTCAGAATCATGCAGCTCTCATATTTAATCCCCTAATTAGATTATATGAAGATATTTACAAATAAAGTTTCTATTTTAATAGTCGGATATAATCTCTCTGCAACCCCCTCTCTCACCATTGTCAGTCTGCAGCGATTTTGTGACTCCTTACCTGAGAGCGATTTGAATTTTGAACTTGAGTCCGACCGTAACTTAACCTAAAATTCATTCCTTATATAATTATTCAATATCACGTCAATGCTAAGTAAATATTTATGGAATTTATATCGAGAGGAGAATGATATAAGAATGAAGAGAGACACGCTGTTGGAACAACACCAACAACGGCAATAACAATGCCTATAATAACAACAATAATCAATATTTGATATTTTAACACATTTACAAACACTCACACTCGCATTCCCTCACACTCACGCTTGCTCTCTCACTCTCCCTGTCTCGCTCTCTACCGCACTCTCTCTATGTCAGATCGCAGCACAGCTTGTATAAGCTGGAAAACAATGCCATTGGTTTTATTAATGACCGCAATTATTCTTATTATTATTGCAAGTTAAGATAGAAAAGGAAAAAAAATAAAAACTGAAAACTCGTTGATTTCATCGATGGACGAGGTCTATGGAGATCTATGGATCTGCTTGCCGTCTAAAATTTCAATGGAATCGGCCCCCTGTTGCGGCCCCAAAAACAAAGGCCTCCTCATAGCAGTTGACTTCGACTCTGGCGACCTTTGTTGGTCATCTTCGTATACCCTAGATCATTGTTAGCCAAGGCGCAAAATAAACAGCACATTAATCAATAGAAATTAATACAACGCCAAATAGTTGTATAAATCCTAAAATATTTCAGTGTTTGCAAATCAAATTAAAGTTTTCATGCAACAACAAACAGTCTCTCTATGTTAGATGTATGTATATTTCGTATACAACATGAGAAACAAGTGGAGGCAAGGTTAACATTGCAAGATCTCCGAATCCTATAGTCATATATAAGATATATGTATGTATATAAATATAGAGTTGGGATAGCACACTCTTAAATTCTTAAAAGTTTATTTATCAGTGGAGCTATAGTCCCACATTGATTTCCTATCGACATACATTTTATTGCTCCCTAAGCCCGAAATTGTTATCTGCATAATTTCTACAAAGAATCTTTTAAACAAGTTTCAATTCAGTGTATCCCTAGCCATATTTAAAAACCAATAGAAATAAATGAAACTAAAATTTTATTATATATGTATAATGGTCATTCATTTCTGATGTATATATTATTCATTCTATCTCTTAGACATCCATATTTATAAACATAAAATCCGCATATTCTTTTATATTTATATATATCATATTTGCTGACAACATCTAGTAAAGAAGTCGTAAATATTTTCATACTAAATGAGATTATCATTTCGTTTTGTATTTTCTACAAGTTTAACCCATACAGATATATATTTATATATCCAGTAATGGATTTATAAATAGGCATTTACCAAATTTGTTTAGTATTTCGCTGTCTGAAAAAGAAAAAGAACAAGACTTGAGTTTCTGTTGAGTGTTTTTATCATTTTAATAAATGTTGTTTTTATTCATTTTTAAATATTTTGCATTTCCTTAAACATTACGCTTTTGTTTTTATTTTAATTTTAATACAATTAATAATACATTTATGAATATGTTTTGTTTTGTGTGTGTTTTTATTTATTTTTATGTTTTTCATTCCATTGTTTGGATGGTGTCTTTAGTCTATAACGAATTCACGTGATATTTACAATTTGAGTTAGGGGCACAATACTCGTAACTAGGATATGAGGATGGTGCTGGCAAAAACAACAAGGAGCACACTCTTAGAACTAAATAAAATTAATTTACAATTAGGTTTCGCTTTCGGTTTAGTGACAATAAATTATAGACAATATTATTACATAAAGTTTAGGTAATACATATACAAATGCACACACATATATGCATGCCCATCTGCATACATTATTGGCTAGGAATGTTTCTTATGTTATGTCCTCGATCTTGCGCAAAGATTGTACTAGAGTTTTGCGAGCGTTGCTTCATAGAGGGCGAGAAATACAATGATAGAGAACTACTAGATTGTAATTGGCTTACATAGAGCTTTTAAAGATTTAAAACCAGTTGGATCACTTTGGGAACGCGTCAACAATGCAAATTGTACTTTACTCTGGGACAGTGCGGTCCGCCCAATCTGCCTAATATAGCACTGGCACCGGCCGCCTCAGGGCGCTGTCCATTGAGCCGTCCATGCCGTTGGGCGTGATGGTGCCGGGTGAGGAGCCCGGCGAGGATGTCGAGGATGAGGTGTAGAGTCCGGCGGCGGCGGCGTTCGCGGAGTGGGCGGCATACAGCGAGGGCGCCGAGATGCCCGAATAGATGCCGGAGTAGAAGCTGCTCAACGAGGTGGGCGGCAACTGTGACGCTTGCTGCGCCTCCAGGTGTTTGTGCGTCTGGTTGTTGGCCGCCGCGCTCTGGTGCAGCTTCGACAGCGCCAACGGATCAAAGCCGGTGAAGTAGGGCACTGGGTACGGCTGATCGAGATGGTGTGAGGGTGCGAAATACGGCGGCAGCTGGTGGAAGGGATTGTAGCCACCGCCCGCTGGACCAGCGCCAGCTGCTCCCAGCTTCTGTTGTGCCATATTCATGTTCATATTCATGTTCATGTTCATGTTCATGTTCATGTTGCTCTGCATCTGGAGTGCGCCCTGGGGCCCTGAGGCCAGTGGGTTCTTGGGCTTGCGACGTGGGCGATACTTGTAGTCCGGATGCTCCTTCATGTGCAGCGCACGCAGGCGCTTGGCCTCGTCAATGAAAGGACGCTTCTCCGACTCCGCGAGCAGCTTCCATTCGGCGCCCAGACGTTTCGAGATTTCGGAATTGTGCATCTTGGGGTTATCCTTGGCGATTTGACGACGCTGCAGACGCGACCAAACCATGAATGCGTTCATCGGACGCTTGATGTGGCCCTCCTGGCCAGGCGACGTGGCCAAGCTGTGCATGGAGCTGTTGCCAGCCCCAGAGCCCACGCCCGAGCCGTGTGTACCCATGCCCAGGCCGCCGCCCATGCCACTGCTGCCCAAGCTGCTCTGGCTGCCCAAGCTGCCGGCGGAGCCAATGGAACTGTTGGGTGAAAGGGTCTGCTGAGCAGCCACGGCGTTGTGCATGTGGTGCGCCATGTGGTGACTCATGTTGTTGGCTGCTTGACTGCTGACACCGCCTGGACCGCCGCCCGGGGATCCGCCCATGGCTGCTAGACTAGCGGCCAATCCACCGCTCTGTGAGTAGTGCAATACGCGCTTAATATCCATGTCCATGCTGGGGCTGAGCTGGGCATTGCCCAGGCCCTGGGAAGCATAGTCGCCAGGGGAGGGTAGCTCCAAGCCCTGACCGGCGCCCAAATGGAAGCCGTAGTTGGGATGTGATGATAATGTGGCCATTATATGTTCGTTTATCACTTGATATTGTATGGAATAAATGTTCACTCTGTTTGCGTTCTTGTTCTTCTCTTGTTTGTCACTTCACTGTATTCACAATGTATGTAACTGCTTTTATTATATTCTTTCTTTTTTCAGTATGGTGTTCAGTCAACTGCAATGTCGATAGTGCGTCTCTTTGGGCTTCGCAGTTTCTGTTGCTGTTGCTGTCGATATTGCTCTTGCTGCTGCTTCTGTTCGGCTCAACAGCTACACACTGACTGATTTGTCTGCGCAATAATTGAGACTGACACGACTACAGTCAAATCCAGTTTTCTGTTATGCCCGCAGAGGCCGTTCGCTCTCACACTCTCTTTCTCTCTCTCGCGACGGCGAACGACGAACCGAACGGCAAACTGCGAACGACAACCAACCCCCTGCGCAGGTAGATTGTGTGTGCGAGCGAGATGCCCACTGATGGTTGCCTTCTGCACGTACGATACCTGGGCTAGCTAGCTCTGTGCTTGCTTGCTCTTGCTCTCTCTCCCTTTCACTCTTTTGCTCTCTGTTGGTGCTGCATTGTTACGCTGCTTGTTGGCTTTGTTCCATTGGCTCCTTTATTTCGGCTGCCTTGTTAGTTGTAGTTGTTGCCCATTGAGGGGTGTGTTCAATAGAAAGACTGAATAGCAGCAACAACAACGACGACAATAACAGCTCGCTCACTGTTCGGCTCGGTTCGTGTCTGGTCGCCTGCCTTGTTAGTAGTTTTTGACTGCGCTGCTCCCATTTTTTGCCGCAGCGACCTCATTTGGAGCACCCGCACTCCTGTATTGCGCTCCTACGCTACACTCACTCTCCCTATCTCTCTCTCTGTCCCTCTCACTCTCTCTCTCTCTCTCTCTCTAAAATTGCATTGATTTTTCGCATACAGTGGGCACACAATTTCCGTTATTGTTTCGCCTGGCGCTGCACTTCCGCGGCATGTATTGTTGTTTGTCCGAAGAGAGCTTCGGCAGTGTGAGAGCCAAGCATATACGCTCAGAGAGTGCGCTTATGATTCTGTGTGCGTATGACTATATATGTACGTGTGTGTGTGCGTGGCCCGTTGGCTTTACCTTTTCAGCCAATCATAATGGCGACTTGGTGTGAATTTTTGTATACCCTGGCCATTGTGGGTGTCTGTGTTGCTCTCTGTTCTATATACAAGCCGCATGTGTATTGTGAGTGGGCAAATCTGTATATATGAGTGGGAGAGTGTGTCTGTGTGTCTGTGTGTGGGTGTGTTTGTGTTTCATGTATATGTGTGAAAAGCACATTTTAGTTTGTGAAAAGGACATGGAAACACGCTTTCCATTCTATGGCGTTGTTCGTTTCTTTCTATTTCGCGCTCGAAAGGATATTACTGCAATTATTTACTTATTTGGTAAAGAAAAGTGGAAAAGCAAAAGCGACACAATGCACCACACAACACAATTACAAAACGAGAGACGAGAGATGAGAGTCGAGAGAAAGACGCACTGAATGGCTAGCCAAATTTATATAAGTGTGCACGTACATAAAGTGTACCTATATGCATGACCATGTTTGTATGGGTGCCTACACGTGGGTGAGAGTGAGAGGAAAGTACCTCTCCCTCCCTCTCTCTCTCTCTCTTCGTTTGGCTACACAATGCGCAAAGTTAAAAGGAATAAAAATACACACAAAATGAAGTGTTTTTCTTGGCTGCAAAGGGAAGGAGTACAATATGCTCTTGCTGATAATCAATTATAATAAGTAGCGTAGTATTAAGTATCTAAGTATCTATATTTCATAGAATAGTCATGTCTTGTTCATATCTCTATTACCGAATCAATAAAGCTGTTAGTGCTATATTCAATAAAATTAAAGTAAGAGTTGGAGTCCTCTTGTTTGCATTCTACGTATGCCCATTTTTCGTATGAGTATGCATAAATATGTGACCAACCATACTATAATACACATATTATCAGACCTTAGTTGAGCCGAAGGAAAAACTAGCGAAATAGACACTTTTCTACCCTGTTATTACAGAATTATTTTCAAGCCAATATACCCAAAGCGGCCTTTATCCAACAGGGTATAAAAAGCTTTCAGCATTTCCTTTGTGTTGCTCACCGAAAAAAGCAGAAAAAAGAATTTATATAAAAATGGAAAGAAAAAAACTTGATGTGTTGTGTAATGGAAAAAGTTTTGTTCAGCTAGCGTTTTGCTTTCTATCCATTCTACTTTTCACTTAGCAATGGAATACACACACAGAGCGAGTGGATGAAGGAGACACAAAGAGAGAGGACGAGCGAGAGGGAGCTCCAACTAGGATAGTGGTAGAAAGGAAGACAGACTTTTGCTTTTTGCCATACGCATCTCGCATTTAGTATTCAAATGTTGCCATGGGCTTTTGTTATGCTTGCAAGGAAGGAAGGAAGGAAGGACGAGGTGCCGGAGAATAGTTTTGATATTTTTTCTGTATGTGTGTTTGGGTGTGTGTGTGTGTAGGGATAGCGACAAAGCCAGTCAGGTGTTATATGTACTTATGAGCACTCAATTCGAAATGAGAACAAGTAGAATCAACAGTTCTGTAATTATGAAATCCATTATGGAAAGTCTAACCCTAACCCGTTGAAAGGACTCGTCTGCCTTTCTCTGCCTGCATTCAATCCGCTCTCTATTATTCATTCTCCTTTTTACATTAAATCCCGAGAGTCGCGCATTTCATTGTTTGCCATCTGTTGTTGTTGTTGACATTGTTGTTGTTGTCATTGTGAATTCTTCAATTGTGAATTGGGGCTCTGACTCGGGCTCTGGCTCTGGCTCTGATTCTGGGTTGGCTATATATTTGTATACGTCTGTATAGCATAGCCAGCCAAACAATTCGCTTTTTCATTTTTCATTTTTAAATTAAATTCTCGAACAATGCGGCCAAATGTGATAAATACAATGATTATAATGAGATCATAAAGATAAATACAATCGAAACAAAGGGCACAGCTTTGCCAGACTTTAATGTCAATTAAATGAGGTTAAATTGTGTTTGCTTTTTGTGAATTGATTGAATTGTCTCCAATAATCGAATTGCGTTCAAAGTGTTATTTAATTGCTATTTACTTAACTCACATATGGGTCCACATGACTGTACGACCATAGAGCATACCCAGCACCTGGCTAACAGAACATTTGGGTAGATTTGTTATTTTTCCTTTCCGCTTCCAGATCCAACTGCAGTTAACTTACATTTTCTCACGTAGCTGGCAGCCGACGCATCCTTTGTTCAGTTCGCATATTCCATTTCCCACTGTCCATTTCCCAGCGCCCCCAACACACATACACATTTGATTACAATTTCCTAGACGTACGTGTCCATTTGATTACTTCACAGATTTTGCGCTTTTCACGTGTCATTCTAGTTAAGAGCATTTTGCATGCACACGAAATTCAAAGATTTTTCTTTAACATTTTCATTTTTTGCGTGAAAAAAAAAATATTATGTGTCTTTATAGGACTGTGATAAATGTTAGATGGAATAGAATTTACAAGGAAAATTACACTTTAGTTTAAAATAAAGATAAATAAGTAAAGCTATATAAAATAATAATAATATGAATATTACATAAAATGATTATCCCTAGGGACTCATATTTGATATTCTCTGAAAGGATTCATTAATTGTCATCTTGTCTGGATACAAAAAGTGAACATATAGTCGAGCCATAACTAACTCTTCGGCTCATCCCATTAGATCTAAATAGTCGGGCGATAAACAATAGAAGAGAGACGCAATGGAACCCACAGTTGGAACGCTTACATGTGCCAGGGCGACTTCCGTTCGGGTTCACCTGATTTGACCAGGTCGAATCGCTGCTGCCGCTGAGCAATTGTCACTGGCATTGTCCTGGCTGCAGCATCTCCTGGCTGCAGCGTCCCTTTGTCATCCTCCTTTGTTCGGGAATTCAACGGAACTCGAATTGTGTGTGTTGTCCAACGCTGCAAATTGTTTCAGCAATGCCAAAGACAACAACAACAGTACACAAAAAAATACAAATAAAAATAATGATAAATAAAATACAATAATAAATGGGCGAGTGTGTCGCAGTTGCAGCACTTCCGGCCAGCAAGGAAATGGAAATGCGTTACCCAGAAGTAGCCAGACAATTAACCTCTTCCACAATAAACAAACTACATTTCACAATTTACAATATTCAATTTGCGGCATTTGGGCAAAGGATAAGCTGAATAAACGTTGGCCAAAACATGTGTAAGCCCACATGTAACGCCTCGGAAGTCAGCCTCAGCAGCCCCTTCTTCGGCAGTTGCCAAGTGTGAGAATCTGTGAGAAGTTCTCGCCATGAATGGCTGGGAAAATGGCAGTGGTAATGCAATTGAGGAGCTGTCAGAGCGTAGGATATCGATGGCTCTCATAATGCATGCTCGATTTGCGCTCATTAGGTGCCCAGCGGAACGCCGCATGTGCTCCGCTTCCCCACCAACCCCGCCACAACTAGATGTCATAACAGATTAACTAAGGAACGCTCCTGATATGCGCGAAGCGATTCCCGATTCGATTGTTCACCTGGCAGACCGACAGAAAAAGCCCACAGCCAGAGCCAAAGCCAAAGCCAAAGCCGAAGCCCAGCCACTTGGCTAAACGACGTTAATTTCTCAATCAGCCAAAGATGCGAAAGAGAAAAGAAAAGTAAAGGGTTGCAGTCAAATGACGAGCCTCGGCGCAACGAAGCCAAGGCCCACTTCATAATGCGGAATTCATCTTAAGTTTGCCATGTAATCGAAACGGGCCACTTAAGAGCTGACTGACTACTTGAGCAAATTTCTATATTTCTATATTTCTTCATTTCATTATTTCTTTATAATTTTTGCATACAGCACGCTGGAGGTATTTGTGTTCTCGGGGCCATTCTTAGGGGTTGGCCGGCCTGCCTTCTGGAGTGCTTTGGTACGTCTAATTATTGTTGTCGCTCGACCCGAAAACGTCGCCAGCCGAAGAGCCCACTCAATGCGACTTTTGAAGTGCAGTTCAGTCGCGCGATTTCCTCGGAACGTCATATCGACGCAGCCGAATCCCACGGTGTGTGTTTACGACCAACAAGCACAGTTGGAACGAATCGGAGCCGGGCGAAAATCCACAGAATTAGCTGCCCGATGAAAAAATAAAGTGTCAAAATTCTGTGGTCCTGCGGTCGCCTCGGGCCAACATCATCGCCGTTCACGTTGTTTTGGGTAGGCGTGCGAGGGCGTGGCCCAGCAGCCAAATGAGGCTCAGGCACGGCACACGGTGAGGCCTGTCACTGGCAGCTGCCAAACCCCAGATGCACGAAGTTTAAGCCAAAGTGTTGACAGGCTGCTAAACGCTTTGATATGTCTATAATTATACCCTGTATTGGGTTAGAGTGGCGGGCATAATGTACTAAGTATTGAGAATGACGTGGCAAAACCACGAATCATTTCGATTTTCTGTAATATACCCTGTAGTGGGTGAAGAAGTGTACTTAAGACAGTGAATCGATTGATTGTCAGACTAAATAAAATATATGAAATAATACTAATAAGACTAAGTCAAGACAGATACTACTATCAAAATCATTCTTATTTTCAAAATTGATCTATTTACTAGTGATATACCCTGCCAAATACAGTAAAACACTTGAAAAAGTTACGTAAAATACCAAACAACAAATACTACCAAGAACGTAGGCATATCACTCTTCTGTTATATACCCTGTAGTGGACGACAGTAGTTGGCTTGTAGTTGTAAATTGACTGAAACACAGTTTATTTATATTATTTACATATGTATATATAATATATATTATATTATATATCATATATGTATATATTCTATTCCAACTCCATCAGCTTCTATACACTTAGGCACATACAACGCCTGCAGTCGCGCATACCCGATAGCTGTCTGCCTGCCCGCTTTGCTGTGGCTTCTTGTAATTAATTTTCACTCATTTGGCAAATGGGTTTGGGGCGTATTTGAAAGTCAAAGAGTTTTATTGCGCGTGTTTAATGCCATCAAAGATCAAAGTAACATTTTTAGCGATGGGAAAACGGTTTGACGCCTTTGCAATACGCCTTTTATTCTATGCCATACTAACCTAGCCGCACCTGCTCCCCTCCCCCGCCCTCACTCATCCCATGGCTACGTTTATTTATTTGTGTGTTTCCTTTTGAATGCTGGAATTTTTAATGCAACTTTTGATTGTGTTGCGTATTTTCACTCAAGTGATTTGATTTTGCGAATTGAATTTATTTCAGTTGGCTCTTAAGTAAGTATGCATACCGCGTACCTTACATCGCCTTTCAGTCTATCAGCTAGTCAGTCAGTCAGTCAGTCCGTCAGTCAATCAGTCAGCAAGTCAGCCATTGCCTTCTTGTGGGCTATGTTTGTTTAGCGTCTCCCGCGAGACTCAAGTGGCAAAACATTATTTTGTTCAGGAAATTCAATTAAAACTTTGCGGTTTTTTGTTAACACCCCCGCAAATAAAACCTCAAGTGGTTCCCAATCAAAGCGAAGCGTATTCGGACTGTCAGACTGATGGAGGGAGACAGAGAGAGAGAGAGAGAGGGAATGGAAGGTGAGTTCAGCAATAGAGCGTAATATGAATGTATTTTAGATTTGAAGTGGCCAATATGCCAGAAACCCTCCTAGCCGTAGCTTGTCTATGGCTACATTTACAGACTACATAATAGATTCTTCTTAGACTGTAAATAGTATGTACAAGTTATTATAACTAGGTGATAGATTGGATCCCTTACTGGAAGATCTTCCTTATAAACTAAACTAACTGAAACTAATATACAATGTAGGGCAGAAGTAATTGAAGTAATTGAAAACGCAATAACCACAGGAAATATCGCTATTTGGACGTAGCACTTAAAAAGTAAACAAACGTATACAGCTATACGAAAATCGAAAATCGCCAAGCCCCGATGCAATTTACTCCTCAAAAGATAGGGTTATTCAATGAATGGAGCATTTCCAAATGTTTTAAGCATTTCTGACTCCATTTCATAGGGTTTATTGCAGTCACGGTTAAGGAGTGCACTGAATTCTGTGTGGCCTATATCATTTTTTGATGGTATAAATTCTAATGAAACAAAATAAATGTTTGGCAACCGTAAAAAGAGCTTTTCATCAAACGAAATTGCAGCAAAAGAATATCGGATAACTACTTTTCCTCCATTTGGTAAATAAATACAAATATGCTCTATAATTAATATACCTAATTGGTTATGATCTTACATGATGCAAGTGATCCTCGAGTCGGCAAGGAATCTTTCTTAACAAGAACTCACAATAAATTCAAGTTTGAGCAAAGTCAGGACGTTATATCCAAATAATTTGAGCGATTATTCACAGTATGTGCAAATGACAAAATCAACTACTATCAGACCCCTAGGAACTAAGTATTAAATGTGCCTTTTGTGATCCTTGTTTAGTCATATATCACAGTCCCACGCACACACAAGCCCTTTGCTTAGAAGTTAGAGCCGAAACGCAAACAGAAGTTAACAAAGGTCAAGCGAATCGAACTCTGATTCATCATTGAGCAACCCTTGCAATTTTCACCCACTCACCCACACACATGCCCACACACCCACTCCACCTAAGGGCTGTCAAAATAAATTGCAAGCTTTTTTTCTTTTTGCTTTTTTCTTCGTTATTTGCATAAATAATTTACTTTAAATAAACTCGAAGAGCGCTTGAAACTTAGCAAAGCTCAAGGTGAGGCGAGGCGGGGCAGCTCACCTGGGACTGCTGGGCCATAATTCTTGTTTAAATGGACCATTGATTTGAATACTTTTTGCATTTTCATTTCTTTCTTCTCGTTGGCTGCCGAGAAAGTCCCAAAGGAATTTCCTTTAGATTCGTCAAGTGTGCGACAGGAGCAAAAGAACAAACGCAAACAATTGCGATAGTTAGTTTAAGTAAAAGGGACAAGCCCACAAAAAGCACAGAGCAAGGAGAAGAAAGAAAAAATGAAATAGAAAACGGAATATGGAAAATGGAAAATGGAAAAGCAATCATCGGCCCACGACTGCCGCATTTAAAAGTCATTTGCAACGCCCCTCGCAAGCCTCGCTAAACGGATCTCATAAACCTCGATTTTCCGGGAATGGTTTTTATTGTTTTACAATGTTTGTGTGCGTGAGTAATTAAACAGTTTCGCCAACTTTCTCGGCCAGGCCGAGCTGCAGTTTTTACCCGAGTCACAATTTTACGACTGGGAAATTAACAAGCACCAAGATCGAGAGATCTTAACAGCCAACTTTTATGGACATGGCAAAACTCGCACGGTTGTTCTTGGCCTGGCAAACGCCGCGCCAGGGAGGTCACACAGGAACCTTGCTAAAAAAATAAGAATAATAACGAAAGAAAGAGGAAAGAATGAGGCGCACATAAAGAAATAAAATAATATCATAAATATTTTTAGGAACACACAAAAGGAAGTGGGCGTTGTTTGCACCCAACTAAAGATTCGAGGCCCATTGCCAGCTGCCCCATTAGCGGGCACAAAGGAGGCCCAACAAAGGTCCTGGCGACGTTGCTGGCAAAACATGTGATTAAATTGTCGCTTACAACGAATTCGACACCTCGCCTCGCCGTGCCAGCGGACTCTATAATTACGCCGACTCTACGAGAGAGAGAGAGAGAGAGAGAGGCAGAGGGAAGGAATCAAATGCCTAACAATAAGTGAAGGAGAGTCTAAAGCCAATCCAGATCTGGGAAACTTTTGGTGTGACATATTCAAATCAGGAACGACTAAACCTTTGTTGTGATCGGCAAGGGTTGCCACCATATCATTATCGCCGCTCGCCGCGCTGTGGTGCCCATTGTGCGACCGCAGCTCAAGGGCTGTAGCTGCCAACGTTTCCCAGCAGCACGGCCCAAGCTGACCAAAACAGCTACACTGCAACAAAATTGCCAAACTCCCTCAATCAATTACAGACATTGCAAAAGAAAGGGTAGTTCTTACTATGAGTAATTAGAAACAGTCGGGCGTTACCAACTGCAGAATACTCATCCACCGACCTTAAATTTAGATTGCCTCTAAATTATGTAATTCAAATAATTTCTTGAATCTTTGTCGGTTGTAAGATATACATTTAAGTATATATTTGCTATAAATTTTTGATATTTGCTTATCAGGGAAAGCATTCATTACTAATTTTAATCCAACCCTGCAAATATTAGTTTTATTTATTACTCTATTATTCTATTCTACACAGAACTAATATACTCAGCTCGCTAGCTTGAATGAGTATAACATGCATACTGTTTTTTTGCAGTGTATAAAAAGTTTCGCGCTGGCACAGCATGTCCTAAATTGCTCTATTCAGACGCAATTAGAGTCAAGCTGGGTAGCTGAGCAGGCAAGGCTTGCAGACTCGAGAGCTGGATCGCTGCTTCGTTTTTGTTTTTTAACACTTTCAATAGCTGCAACACTGAACAGTTTAAGGATAATGCCTACAGAGATCCTTTCTGTTGCACAACAATATGGAGTAAACGTTTCCGGTGCCTGCGATTCTTGTTTTACTTTTTTTTCGTTTCTTTTTTTGCAAAAGGATCCCACGCGGAAGACAGCATCGATCGTTGATCTTGATATCGATGCATGGCCTATCGCTAATGGCCATTGTCTGGCCGCACTTGCGCATGCGTAGGGCAGGTAGAGGCACAATGAAAGGTGTCGAGGGCCCCCGTAAATCTGTTGCTACAATTTCAATTACGTAATCAAGATGCCGACGATATGCGCATGACAAGAGCCTTGTTGTTGGTCTCTTTGTGCCAAGCGATAAGCGGATGTTCCCAAGGATGCATGGAGCATACGCTAAAGAACCAACACCCGCCTCTGGCCATTGAAGCGGATTTATTGGCCAGACGTCCATAATAAAAACGGTTATTATCATTCAAATGTCGCATTATTGGCACCCTCTATGACGCGTCGCGCTAGTTTGTGTTTGCGATGTCGTAAAGCCGAGTTTTACGAGGCGCATTTAAATTAGCGTTAAGTTCAGCAATGGGTTGGGGTTGAAACGGCTCGTAGACTAAACATTTATTGCACAATGTGAACAAAATTTGAACAGCACAGCGAAGAGCGAAGCGTTCGATTCAATAAAACTTGAACTAGCTAAGCGGGGCATCGACAGGGAGCCGATTCACAAATTGGATTGCTCCGTGCTATCCGCCTTTGGGGCTGTGCCGAAGAACTTCTCGTACTCCTCCTGACGGCGGCGGGCGCGTGCCTCTCGCTCCATTTGACGCTTTTTGGAGAAACGTTGATGGATGCGCTTCATCTCCTGCACCTCCTTCATTTCCTCCTTCTCCTCGTCCTGCAAGCAAACAGATAGACAAATACAGCTCTCTCTCTCTCTCGCGCTCTCGCTCTTAGCTTAGTCGACTTACAGTCATATTGAGGCGCAGGACCAGCGCTCGCCTGCCATCCGACATCGACTGGCTATAGTGCATAAAGTTCTTGAGGCGTTCGCCGGGCGGCACACTGCGCTCCACGACCAGGACAATGCGCGCCCACTGGCGCTGCCATTCGTTGCGTATCTCGGCTATCTTCTGGTAGGTGTTGCCCATCATGGCGATCAACATGTTGACCAGCAGAACGCTGACAATCACCATGAACAGAAAGAACAAGATCTTCGCCTCGTATTCGTGCTGCGTGGACACCATGGCGCCATAGTAGTCCCCGAAGTTGGTCAGCGACATCAGAAACATGGCCACGATGGACTCCATGGGCGAGGGCATGGGATTCGTTTCGGCATCCTGATCCTCGGGCGCAGATGGATTATCAAAGGTCAGGAAGATGATGTAGAAGGCCTGGGAGAAGCCCATCACAAACACCAGGTAGATGGAAACGAAGCGCAGCAAGTCTCCCATTACCATGCGATATATCATCACAACGAAGGGTCCGACGGTCTTGAAGCCCCTAGAAGACACACAGAGATCTTCAGTTACGTATGGGCGGATGGCATGTGGGCATCTCACGGACCGACAAAAGAAGAGGAAATAGGGCGCTGTCGTCAGCATGATTACCACTGTCACGTGATCGTCGATCTCGGTCAGGCAGGAGACTCTCAGCCAGGGTATAGTCATCATCAGCGCGCAGGAGAACAGGAACATGACACGTGAAGGAGCAGTCATCTGAGTGGAGAGACACCTAGTTATCCATATAGAAGATAATTCAGAATTTCAGTTGTTATCCCACCAGATTCTCAATGAACATTTTGTAGCCCAGGAAACGCGCCTCCCTCAACGCCACGACCAGATAGAGAATGGCGCCTACAAAGTTGATGAGCTCGGCGATAATGCGAAGCTTGGCCAGATCCGACTCCAGATTCATGAGCGGACACTGTGCATAGGTCTGCCACCAGGCGGGCAGAGTCTCGACCTCGTTGGGATCATAGTATTCCGTGAAGTTAAGCCAGAAGGTTTCTGTGCGGACAAGAAATTAGAACTTGAAGATCATTTATCAAACTTAGAGAGAAATAACAAACTGTATTCGGTGCTGGAGGTGGCACGCTTGGACAGCTGAGTGAGGCTGTGATTGCTGTACAGGTCGTGAGTTGTGCTGGCGTTCGACGCAGCCGCTGGGCTGCCAGCCTGATCCTCGTCTTCGTCCTCCTTGGCCTCCGGGCCCGGACGCAGTATGAAGCTGAACAGCGAGATGAGAAAGTAGAAGGCAAACATGTAGAACTGCTTGTAGAAGCGCGACTTGCAGAAGGTGTCCCATTTGGTCTTCAGCAGATCGATGACCACGCCATCCAGCAGCTCGAGGTGCTCCAGCTTGTCGCCGAACACCACAAAGTTCAGCACCGAGTCCTTGTTGATGTTGCCCGTCTCCTCGTTAATGGTGTCGATCATGAGCAGCGGATAGGCGGCGCAGGTTATGCTGCCCAGCTGCCAATAGATCTCGCGCTCAATGCTCATCACGTGGAAGAACATCTCGACGCGCCCGAGCTTGGCCGCCAGCGTCAGGGGCGTCAGATTTTGAACGTTGCGCACGTGTATGTTGGAGCCCACCTCGTAGCCCACGTCGAACATTTCGATTTTCTCGTAGATGACCAGCATGTGCAGGACGGTGTTGCCATTCGTGTCCTGGAAATCCGGATCTGCGCCGCGTGCCAAAACCAGCCGGAAGCACTCCTCCTGCAAAAGTTGATGGTAGACGATAGATGCACTTGATTTTCCTTGACTTACCTGGGACAGGCAGGCGGCAAAGCTCAACGGATACTCGCCCCAGTAGACGTAGCCATCGTAGTTGGTTATGGGCTGCAGCGCCACGTACTCGTGGTCGGGCGAATCTGTGCGGGAGGCCTTTGTGTCCTCGGCAGACATGAAGGCGCCACAGCAGCTAGGTGAGGAATACGTTAGGCCGGGAGTCAGACTACGCAGAGCTACTCACCGTTCCTGCACATCCGCATTGGCATCCAGCAAGTACTTGACCATGGCCGGATCCTCGTTCACAATGGCAATGTGCAGCACGCTCTCGCCGTAGTACTCATCGCTCATGTAGATGTCCAGGATGAGCTTGGGATAGAACTTCAGGAGACGCTTCGCCAGATCTGCGTGCAACGAGGAGGCATTCAGCAGGCAGAGATGCAGAATCGTTTCGCCCACAGCGCCGCGCATCTGCGGACAAATAACTCAATGGAACTGCAACTGGATAAGTTTATCTCAACTGAACTCACATTAAGATCCCAGCAGACAAAGCGGTAGGCCGATGGATTGGATATGTACTCCGCCTCGGACACCTCGGGACAATAGTCGTGTATGTTGAAGTCTTCGTCGGGATTCTCCAGGGCGCGTATTTCGGGCAGTTGCCTCGTTCGGGGTCTGTCCCGATTCCGCAGCAGCACCAGCTTCGATATGGGAAAGTAACGGCCAGCGCCCTTGTTATATAAAAATGGTTCCACCTTCGTTTTGATTGCATGATCGATCTCGGCAAACTGCTTGGTTTGGCAGGCGCGCTTCATCATGTCCACCAGAAGGCCGCCGCCCTTGAGATTGACAAACTTATAGAGCGCCTGGGTGGAGACTCCCGCCTGTTTCTTTACGCCACTTGTCACATTGCTCTCGGTATTTCCCATGATGAAAGCTGCTCAGGTATCCAGAAATCGATTGGAGATGGTCGAAATTCTTCCAGTTTATTTGTTTTTGTTTATTTTATTTTTATTTTTGATGAAGCGCGACATTTTTATTCTTGAACCTAGTTTTGACTACGCAATGTTCTCGAATTTCTAGTCTGTTTTTATCCTTCGAGTGCACATCGATTAAACATTTCCACGAAATGAGCGTTGCCAATGCAACAGCTGAACTTGAGCCTAATTTATTGTTTACAATCCGTTGCCAGGCATCGAACTTGTTGCATATTGCTGCACATCCAACAAGTGTTTCGCCCATATCCTCGATAATTGCAAACTTGTGGATTCCAATAAAAACTTGAACTTTTCGCATTGCATGTGCCACGTTTCGTGGCCTTCTTCCACCTTGACATACTGAACTAAAACACGATTACGTTATTATTGAATCGATTTAGATTTTATTTTCGTTTATTATTAGTGTGTGTATGACTCTCTGCAATTAAAGCATTCATTTCTTCTACTAATATTACATTTATCAAATTACAAACTGTTCACAGACGAAGTTAAATTTATTTTGCGCCACAATACTTTTCAAATATTTCTAGCGAACGGCCACCCTAAGCATTTAAAATTTATATTTGGCGCCTACCTATGTGACCGTCGCATAATTGCGCCATCTACATTATGTAAACAGAAACTGCGTTAACAGAATCCCTGTGCCACTTAGCACTGTTAAAAGACTCAATGCTACAGCACTATTGAAAAGTACGGTCATTTAACAGTGATAAGCATTTGTCCTTAACAGCTCCAAAAAGCTGCTTGCTATGTTACTCAGAGTTGGATTTTAAAAATGATTCAAATCGAAAAGAATATTTTGTAAATATTGAGTCATAATGGATTATAATACTGTTGTTATTAGGCAAAGTCATGAAACAAACCTGTTTGCTATGTTATGCACTAATATATTTGGAAATTCACATAATTCGTAAATGAGCAAAACAACAAGCTAATCGTATATATAGAGTCAAAAGATTTATTTATTAAAATGTTATTTCCTTATGAGGCAAACTCATTAAATTTTATTTGGACCAGATCGTTAGTTTTGATTATAGATATTAGCTACAATGTTTGATTTAGTGAGCTCCTCTGTGCTCAACTTAGCAATTTCCGAATTTCCAAACATTCATTTGAGAGCATTAATTGTAAGTAGTTATAATAGATTATATATTTATGTATGTATGTGTATATCAGTATATTCATATATGCATATCGTTAATTGATTTCTTGATGTTAATTCACTAATGTAGAAAGACTGGACTTATCAAAATATATGTATATGTATGTGTATGTATTTTGCATATAACATAAATATATTTTTCTTGCATATTCATAACATTGCCCAACTGGGCGTATATATGTAACAATATAATTACTATTGTATTAGGTAAGCATTTCAAAACAATTTTAAATGTTAGATTTTGATCCCTTGGCTTGAACAATGTGTTTAAACAATTGCGATATTTATATATAAATATTTGTATATTTATGAAGTAAAACGTGATAGCAATTTGTTATCTTTTCTTGTATGTAATTCTTATATATTCGAGTATCGCCGCTTCATATATAAATTGCTGTTATCTATGACTTTATATATCCTTTGTACTTTGGGTAATTATAAAATAAAATATATTTTAGTTAAAAGCAGTTCTTAAAATCCATTCTTTCACTTATTGCTAATTGTAATTGAATGCAATTGAGAGGAAACTAAAGGCTGGGAATGATGCGGCCCATTGGCCATCTTTTAGCTTGCCTTCCCGTATGCTTTGGAAATATATGTATATATGTATATATATATTAGCAGAGGTAATGGAGCTTAGAGCTAGATATCATATATTTTCTAATGGATATATTTTTATATAAATATTTGCTCTTTTCTGTTAATCACCAACAAACACTTTCCTCGATCCACAGTTGTTTCATAATTGCCTTTCAAATCGTTAATCGTTATATAAATATATATGTATGTATGTAAGTAAGTATGCTATATACCCCGAAATTTAGTTGTAAATTTGTGCAAAAAGTAAGCCAATCAGTTGGAAATAAACTTTAGGAAATATTTTAAGCAAGCCTTGAAAGTGTTGAGGGGTTGAAAACAGCTGAAGACATATTTATTTAGGCTTGGTTTCAAAAGCAAGTTGGAATTCGATCTGTTATATAACTTAAGCATACTTTTAGTGTCAATATATTAGATCTGACCTCTTATAATTTAGAGAAATAATTGCATAATTGTACTACCCACTCCTTATAATGTTTATGACCTTTGCCCCACATCCTTCGCCTCACAGTCCGTCGGATCGATATCCTGTTCAATAAGCACCATATTTTTGGATATCTTGTCAGCGAGCTTTGTCACCGAGTCCGAGGGATGCTGCGATATAATGGACTTGGTTGTCGAACGCTTGCGCAGGTACTCCTCCTGCTGTTCCTTTCTGTGCAAGTCGCTGAGCCTAAAGGCCTCCAAGAACTCGTTCAGATCCACCTTGCCGTCCCCATTGAGATCCATCATACGGCACTTCTCCAACATCTCGTTCTTGGAGTAAACGCCAGGCATATGAGCGACCAGCAGATCAATCGCCTTCTCGAACTCATCCAGCGTTATCTCACCTGAGCAGAAAAGAAGTGAGATTTCAAATTAATCAATCTCTGATTAGATGAGCGACTTAAGTATACTGAACCTGAATGATCAGCATCTATAATATTGAATATGGTCTCCAAGCTGGCTTTATTGGCATACAAAGCGTCCATGACCGATGTGCCGTCAGCCTCGGCTTTCATCTGCAAGAAAGCGACGATGGGGTCCAATAAAAATTAAATAACAATTTTTCATTTTTATTTCCTTGCTTACAATAACATCCGTGTCCAGCAAATCCAAGGTTCGTATATAGTTCACGCTTTGACTATCCGTGCCGGGCGCCAGCTTTTCGCGCAGCAGTCGCCAGGGCAGGCCCAACTTGGTGACGCTCTCCATGACAAAGCACCACTTGGCAATGGTTATGCAGCCGCTGTCGTCTGGGTCGTACTTCTGAAATTCCTCCTCCAGCTCATCGCGGTGCTCGCGCATTCGCACAGCCAGCTCCTTCAAGGCCGCGCACTCCACGATGCCCATGCGCTGCTTGAAGGACAGCTCCTTGGTCTGCGAGGCGGCCGAAATGTATTGGACAAAGTGCGGCACCAGCTGGTTGTTCAGGCGCATATAAGCGCCCTTATTGGAGCCGATGGCATAGTAGTTCGAGGCAGAGAATATGGTGATGACCTGCAAGCAATATATGCATACAGTTAGATATGGACTTTCAATCAAGTCTAGTATCATCCTCGCCTTGTTGTCGTGCATAAACTCGTGTCCATTTGGCTTGCATTCGTGCGAGCGTATCACGTAACTGAGTCGATGGCGCTTCAAGAACGATTCTGTTGTATCCGGCCCGAACCAGACACCGGCTCCACGCAGCTGATTCGGCTTACAGCCTTGCGAGGCCTGTGGATCGCTCCACATGACATCGAAAATCTGCAAACATATTTAAGCATTGAACGTAGGGGAAAAGGTATAGATTTTTCCTTTCGCTTACCTGTTGCCACTCAGCCTTGTCCAGAGCCTCGCCATCCATTAGAGGGGGTCGCAGAATGGAAACATACTGAAAAGGAATTATGCAAAATATAATTATACCATATGCATATTGGTTGCATCTGTGCCTCTACCTTTCCCCTGTCGATGCTTTTGATGAGATCAAGGTTGGTGGTATCCGAGAAGCCGCCGTGGACGATTAGCACGCGATTGTTCAGTATGGATCCCAGTGGAAGCCAGCGATAAACCTCATCAATCAGCGACAGCAAGTACTTGTGATTACGCTTTAAGGAAGAAGAAAAGAGGGGAGCTACAAATAAGAGAATAAATGAAGCTATTAGCTTTACTTACTGGATACTTTCCTTCTACTTCGCGTATAAAGCCGTATCGGGCATTCATAACACTGTCTTCGTGATTGCCACGATTCAGGAAGACCGCATTAGGGAATGCCAGGTACAGCGATAGCAGCAGCAGGAACACCTCCAGCCCCCTTTTGCCTCTGTCGACAAAGTCGCCATTGAAGACATAAGGATTGCTAGCGGACGGCAGGCCATTCTGAAAAGAGCATCGGAGGAGTATGGGAGGGCGTTGCGAAATTCTTGTTAGGTATTACCTTATAGAGCACAACCAGCAGGTCGTCCAGCTTGCCATGCAGATCCCCACAAATGGTCACCTGCTGGGAGACAGCGGTCGACACCATCCAAAGGTTCGGCATCTGTTTGAGCGACTTGGCAGCCTCGCGCAATATCAGGCACACATACTTTGGATGCAGGCGATTGCCCTGCAAGGATTGAGCGCGGTGTTAGAATGGAAACTTGAGGGATTGGGAGCTGGCATGTGGCTTACCCGTTTCTTGCGGAACACATCAATCAAGAGATCTATGTGGCTCTTCTGTATGGGCACTGTTAGTTCTATGCGCGCCATATCCCCGCTCTCCTCATACAAGGTACCACTCTTCTCCAAGCCAGAACCTATTGGGAATTGTTATCAGTTATCAATCATCAGTTATCGGAGGGGATTGAAATAGAATCAGATGTGGGACTTACATCGCTGTGAGTTAGATTTATTTCCTGCCTCGGCGGCCTGAGGCATGTGCTTGATAAGGTCATTGAAGAACTTGTATAGCTGGAAATAGAAAGCAATTAAATATTTAATGTGACCTATATAGCAAGTTCCCTCCACATATCTCTCTACATATGTATGTGCACTCAGTATGCGTGTCGGTGTGAGTATTCTTTAGCTCATTTAAGTATTATCGACTTTCGAATCTTAACAAATGCACATTTCTATTTTGGCCGAGTTTCGCTGCTAATGCTCATTCCAGCAGACTTGTTCTGTTTACAAGGGTAAGCCGAACCGAACGCATTTTATATGCAAGTGCATTAACTGAACCTTTACTAAAATATATATATTTACTTAATAGTATTAAGGTATGAAAAAAAAAAGAATGAAAACTGTTGATTGAAATCGCATCAATAATTATACAATTATATTTTTGCTTTCAAATATAATGCCTGAGGAGTTCCTTAACTTTAATCGTTTAAAATCTCTATAACCATGCCAAATTATATCGTAATTTTTTTACTTGTTATCAAGTCGGCATAATCTAAGCTCACTTTCAACCGCTCAAGCTCGCTTTAATCATACCTAAATAATTATACGATAATGTTGAATGCCATTAAATAAATCGGAAGCAAGCAGAAGCAATCACAGATCTTGTATCTTCTCAAGTTCTACTTGTTCTACTAGTTCTAGTCAACTAACAATACTTAACTAGTTGAGGAACTATCTGCATAATAAATTTCACGTTTCCACCTCACTCATTTTTTCCTCTCTTTCCCAAATGAAAATTGAGTCAATCAGTAAAAAGTCTATTCAGAAATTCTATCCCTTTCGCTCGGTTCGTACGCAAATATATCTAATAATTTCTATATCATCTATATACTATATTAACAGCATGCATACATTATTTATGCATATCACATCATTTACTCACCTCCGCCTGATCCTGTTCGCAGGCATATTCCACATTTTGAAATATTTGCCAATTGCAACGCTTCCGCATCTCCTGACGCGCCTGATGCCGGCGAAACCATTTTTGAATAAATATTGCCGCACGGATAGCTGAAAGGAATTTTAGCATTTAAATTGAAAGGAACTCAATACAATTCTACAATGCTCCATTTGCATTTACACAACATTCATATTTTATGCTACGAGCTACAGTAACTTCATATCGAGTAGAGAAGACAAAAGTCTATTCGAGTTCCGTTTAGCTATTTAGCTGTGCGTCAACTTATATCGGGCAACGTAATGCAATTCCGAAATGCACTTAACCTAATAGGACTACAAGGCACTTAAAATTCTATAATGCACTTCAACAAATTCGCATTGTATTTGCCTTGGTGCACGCGCTTTTGTCGAGGTCCTTGAAACTCCTGTGGAATGAAGTCGAGGACGCAAAAGTTGTCACGGACCAACTAATTGAATGATTGCTCTAACGTTTTTGGATGCAAGGACTGCATAGCATACCTCTAAGCACAAATTGCATATATGTATTCACATACATATAGAGGCCATATATACATACATACATACATATATGTGTGTGTAGTGTGTGCTTCCTACAAATTAAATTATTACTTGCCGTTCTCGTCCATTATTATGTAATAGAGGCGAAGAATGGAGTACTAAAACAAGAATTCTCTACAATGTGTGTTGTCGTTGTTCTGTTCTGTTCAATTCTGTTCTGCTGTGTTGTTGTTGCTGTTGTTGTTGTTGTTATTGTTGGCACTAAATTTAAACATTCATTAAACTATTTAATAACAGTACAACATTTATTGCATAGCAGTCAATGGCTGAGAGTTCTATGGTGTTTCAATTACACATTGCATTGCATACATTCTTCTAATTTTTGTTTACGTATTTTTCTACTTTCAATACAACCCATTGATCGGTCAGATATAGTTGATTGCCCGATTTATCATGATAGCTTCGATTGCACTTATGAACATATATTTAAAACTTGTAAAAATCAATTATTATAGACTAGAAAACACTCTTTTCACTGTTGTTCACGCGGCATCCCATACAAGACTGCGGCTCGAATGACCCGCAAACGGTATTTCAGTGGTTCTCTAGTGGAAACACCCCTCGACCGCCATCCATCGTCGCCACCCTGTGGCACTGGCACTACGTACCTATATTTGTCTGTGGTTCTACGCGAGTGTCGGCCCAGTCGATTTTAGCCCCCTCTTGGTCAATAGCAATGTGGTCAAGCAAAGTGTCCAGGGGAGCGGGTCGGTCTGGGGGCTTTGGCTGTCGTCGTCTGCTAAATTCGTTTGGGGAGCCGCACAAATTGTAACACAATACAGACGGCTGAAAACACGACAATGGGGCTGACCCCTGGAAATAAGGCTGAAATTGGATGGGGGCCAACAGGGGGTGTGGGGAGGTCAGTGAAGTGTCGGACATGATATTGGTATTGTTTTATATTATTTTTTGTTTTTTTGTGTGTTGAAATTAAGTAGACCACTTGACTTTAAGGACTGCAATCGCTCTCCGCTCTCCAGATCAGGTTTAGTTCAATATTTTGGTTGAAGCGTCTCCCACACCCTCCACAAATCAATATCAGGGAATTACATTTACGAAATAAGGGTGTTAACAGATGGGGCGTAAGTGTTGCCATGACTGATAAAAATAGATTTGAAATAGATATTTCGGTCGGGATTGACTGATCGATTGCCCGACGGAAAGCTGTGCTGATAACTTGATAACGGTTGATTTGAATTTAAAAACTAATTGACTGACTGCAACGATTAAATGACTGTCGGATTTACATTAAACCTGATTGACTGGCAAAAGGACTGTGTGATTAACTGAGTCATTCATTTACAAACTGACTGACTGATTAACTGGTAAAGCTGATTGAACGTTTTACTATTGATTCGCTTACAATTTATTGGCATAATGATTGATTTCCTTGGTGACTGATTGACTATTAAGGGCAGAACTGATGGACATACTGGATAAATGATGAATTTATTAACAAACTGTCTTACTGATTGAACGATTCATTGACTCTGAAAACTGATTGCCTGCTAACATGCCGATTAATTGATTGACTGAATGAAGTTTGACATACTGAGGATTGACTTATAACTTTAATTATTGATTGAATGGCAGAGCCGATTGACTGCTTAAAGGGCTGACTCACTAATTGACTAAATGATTGAATGACTCACTGATTGATTGATTGATTGATTGAAAAAGTGACTAATTGAATGAATGATTGCTTGACTTACAAACTGGCTGACAATGGTTGATTAAATTAACATTACTAAGGACTCTGTGATTTCCCCAACACGAATATGATAGTCCCGTTAAATAACTGGCTGACTGAGTGATTGACTAATATGACACACAATAAATGACTGATTGACTAATCCTGCCAACTATTTTAGTGAATATACCTGTCCAAATCGAGTGATTACATTTTAGCTAGACCCATATTGAATAACTGCTTAATTTATCAACTGACGGACAGAGTGGGTAAACGGCTAACTAAACGCTTGATTAATTAATGTACTAATTGACTGGTTGAGCGATTGAAACGCCGCTTGCCTGATTGAACAAATCGTCGACTTGTGGCTGACTAATTGCCAATAATTAACCAAGCTCGCTGTCACAGCCGTCAGCCGAGTGGACCGAATGCCTTTCTTTGCAAAATTAATGACTGCAAATTGACTTCAGATCGAGATTTAAAATTCTCCATGAGCAAATCTTGTAAGAGCTGTAATCTCATATGGGAGATACATTGCTGGGAGGCTGGATCAACTATGCTAGTTTCATTATTTATTTATTTTTATTATAGTAGTATAAGTAGCGGTTGTAGTAGATGGCGATAGGATTTAATTAGTTGAAATCGGTACTCACATTTCTCGACTCGCGTTGCACTCATGCCTCGGAGCGGTTTGCGGAAGTGCTTGCACCAACCTTTCCTGTGGAACAGCTGCAGCAGACTGGATGCGCGCGTATTTGGCTGAGGAGCGAGCGTTTGCGGCTGGCCATTGGTGCCCAGTGTGGTGGTCTGCATGCTGGCACCGACACGCTCTATTTCCGACGAGCGGCACGAGGAGGCGTCCTCCACGGAGGAGCTGCGTCGCTTGCCACCGCCGCCGCCAGCTCGCTGCAAGCAGACACAGCTGCGCAACATGTTGGCGCTGGGAGATTTGGCTAAGCCCGGACAGGCGCTAACCTATGGCCGTGCCGTGTCGTGGCGTGGCCTGCTGTGGCGTGGCGTGGCGTGGATGTTGTATAACTTGAGGAGCACTAACAGGTCGACTATGACGATGACGATGACGTCGACGAGGACGAGGACGAGGACGAGGACGAGCACGAGGACTTTGGGGCGCACCTATTGTCTTCGGCCTCCGGCACGGCCTGTCTGCCTTAATTGCAGCTCCACACACAACTCGCTTCTAGTCGCAGTCGTAATCGTGGTCGTAGTCATGCCACATGCACGAGTGTTTGCGTTTGCCTTGGGCTTTGTTTTAGTGCCATGTGGTGCGAGTGTGTTGCCCTATGATGCCCCGCACGGCGTAATTTGATGCGGCCATACTAGTCGCCGGAAAGTGCGTTGTCCGTCCCTGTCTACGTATCTCTCGGCACTTACTTCTTCCTGCTCTCGCTGTCTCCGTTTTGTCTATTGCCCACGGTGCAATTCGGTTTACTTATCATATTACTTAAATAGTATATATTTATCTAAGTCTTGCGGTTAACTGAAAGTAAATAGAAAGGGAAATTCGCTTTATAACAACAATTACGTTCATGGCGAGTTGTTGATAGCATGTTGTAAGCCCAAATGGGCTAAGAGCACACCAGCCCTATTACAGACCGTGTAATTGCTTCAATTTTTAGAGTTTGCTTTTGGGCGCTCTACCAAAAGTTTTTAGCCTTGATTGAATGCCGTTAAATAAGCATGTTAAGCATATGTTACATATACATCTATGTAAATGGCTATGTATAATATACAATGATTTCAGGACAACATATGTATGTACTTGCGTTAATGTGTACATGCTTTTATATATGCACATGTACGTACATATGTATACATACTTAAACTCATAAGTGTATACATAAATACATGCAATACTTACATACTCAGTTGCATATCAACATACTAACACTCATGCAAACATGTATGCTATTTAATACATCGATTCGTACATAAATAAATGCTTGCGTACATGAACACACGCATGCATGTGGACCTACCTACATTCATAATTAGTTGCATACATATGTACATTCGACTACTACTCGTATTTTCATAAGTAAATATATGCAAAAGATCATACATTCACACATGTAAACATGCATACATATGTCCATACATACATTCATACATAGTATATATGTATATGACTATCTATGTACATATGTATGTACATGCACGTATTTGCATGCATGCATTCATGACGCACACACACACACATACCATATATGTATATTCATACATATTTGCATTCGTTAGTTAGTTTAAGGTAGCTATATGTCTATCAAAATACTAACCTGCATACACAAAATTTACATTCCTACATACAGCTTAGACAGACTCACGCATACATTCGTCTTCGACTATGTACAGATGTATGTATGTGTTCATATGCATATATGCTCATGTATACATATACACATTCTATATTCGTCCTATGTATTCAGTTTAAACTAAAATACCAACACTCATGCATGTACATACATATATAAGCACACACACACACACATACATGCATGCATACATACATATGTATGTATAAACAAAACACTCTACATCCGTTTTCTGGCGTTGGCTAACGGAAGTCTGCTTACTGTGCGGTTGAATGAATAATGATTAAAGCTAAAAAAAAGAAAAAAAATTTAAAAAAAAAAAAAAAAAACTATAGAGAATACATAATACGCTCAAAGTCCCTGAAGCGAATATCATTCGCCCATTTAACGTTCATTTGTTAAGTTGTGGGTGTCATCGGTGTTAATTAATGTCTGTCCATGACAAAGGCTGATGGGTGTGTCAGTCCGTGTATGTATGTGTGTGTGTGTGTGTGGTTGAGAACGTGTGAGGTGATGCTGCAACTTGTGTGCTCCATTTCCCCATTCAGCCAATAATTTGGCCATCAAAAGATAGATGAAAGCCTTAAAAGCGAGCACGCGAGAAATAATGTGAAACAAATGAAGAATTTGCAGGACGTTAGCTGCAGGCAACCCGTACGTACACACGTATTCCGTAAAGCAGAGCAGAGCCTTCCTTACCTGCTACAGTCGGCTAAAGTCTTGCAACAAAGTGCGCAATATGAAGAAACCCGCAGCGTGGCTTATTGGCTCCTTTCCTTGGCGTTCGACTGGCCCCAATGGTAACGAGCACCACAACACGCATAAATCGTGTCGAAAATGGCGTCAAAAGTCGTGTGGCATGAGCCGTGGGGCATGGAACATGGGGCGGGCAAGTGCCTGCGAAACTTTTATCAAAATTCAATTTGTAGAGAGTGAAAATGTTTCTAAATTAATTTCCAATTTGTAAATAAGATTATTTCTTTAAAAAAAGTGAGCGCGGCAGACGCATCAAACGCGAGGGTCGATCAATAAGTATCCCCTATCCAAGCAAATTTGCTGTCGCGCCGTCAACCTTCCAACTTACAGGATGATTTATAAGTTTACTTCTCTACTATTTTCTCTCTTCTCTTCTTATTTTTATTTATTTATTTTTAATTGGCATTCTGTACTTCGACACCTGGTTTGAAGTTAGCCCATTAAATTGGAAAAGTAAAACTCAATATCGATTACAGATTCACTTTTTACTATTGCGGGCGGAGCACGCAAAGCAATAAAAGCGAAATTGGATGCTGTTTACGGGCGGCGCATTTTATTAACCGTGGTTTATAACTTTCAACAAATTCCAACGTGCTCTCCGTGCGCCTTCCGGTGCCTGAGCATAACTTTGGCCCCGAAGTCCAATTTGGAGCTCTTGGAAATAATTCGCATAATGCGCTAATCATCGTCGATGGAACACGGAAATATTCTTTTACTCGCATACCTCCCTTCGCAATCAGAGCAAAGTCAAACATAATCATATTATGCGGTAATTGTGCATGGCCGAGAAAATTAGGCTAATAGGCTGCCATCTCTTCTAATTATTGGGAAAACTTTTGTTTTAGCCAGGATATGCAAGTTACGGCCCAATTTATTTCAATTATTTCCATTATGATAAAGGTCACTTACACTGTGGACCATGGTCAGATAAAGCCAGGACAGATTGACTAATGACATCATCTAACGAATAATTACCAAATGTGTGCAGCACATAGAAGATTGACGAGAGTTAAGAGTTAAGACTTCTGGGAAATACTTAAATACTTTACCGGATATTAACGGAGAAGCCAAAAGACAATTTTCGCCATTCACGAAATCCCCATAGAAATGTCTCTGTTCTACAAATTGAGAGGAATGTGTATCGTACAACAATAAAATAGATTTTGAAATGACTTTTTCGGCACGCTTGCAGCAGTGCTGGCACAAGTATACCCTGTACGCACGGGGACAGTAATAGATACATATGTACATATGTATGTACATATATGTAAATAAGTGTGTCTAATAATTTTAATTCTAATTCTAATGCTAAGATTTTTATTACATATAAGCCCAATATACATATGTATATCTATTAATAATACTAAATTGTATAACATATCTGGCAGTCGTTCCCACTCATCCCGAAATAATTTTTGTGTTTTGTTTTGATTTATATTTATAAATATGTAGACAGTTTATGTAGATGCATATACAAATATTTATGTACATTTGTATGTATATGTACGTATACATATTTTCGCTCATCACATCAAATGTGTGACTAGCAAATATTTAAATGTATGTACATACATATGTATGTAAGTAAAAAATAATAATAACAATAACAATGTAGGGAAAAGCATTTGTCGAATTAAGCCTCCAGCTAAGAAGATATACACACGTATGCATAATGGCATACACACACTTAAGCAAATACACACAGCGAAAGTAAAAACAAATGTCAGCGCCTGACATTTCATGGACATGTTGATTTGCTAAAGAAAATATGTAAATTATATGAGTGTGGGCATACCTTCGAGGAAGAGTTCGCGGCTTAATGAACCGCACAGATTCATCTTAATCTTCGGCAGTAGAATTAACGGCACACACATACGTGCTGCGTGTGCTTTGTTTGTATGTGTCTGTCGACGTACGTTAACACGAACTTTGTTGCACCATCAAATGACAGATATGTTGTGTATAACAGCGGCCATAACAGAGAAGAAACACACACACATACATGTGTTTGAAGGCGGCAAATGATTAAAAGAAGCCAAACAGCAAACTGATGCGGCGCACACACTCACACACACACAGAGAGCAGCAATGTTACGGTTCTGAAATAGCACGACTGGCGTTGAGTGCAGCAGCAATGCGAATATTGCTTATATGCACAAAGTATTTTTTGTGGCTCGCGCTCCGTTCCGTTCCGTTCCGTCTTGTATGGAATACCGATACGAACTGAAATGAGCTGAAAGCACGGAAATCCTTTTAGTCGATGTCGCTGGCGCTGGCTCTGCTGACGCTGTCGCTAGCGTTGGCGTTGTCGCTAGCGTTGGCGATGGCGATGGCGATGGCGACGGCGCAGTTATTGCGAAAATGAAAGAAAACAAAAATCGTTACCGAAATCAGCTGATGGAGCGCTTGCCGCGTTTTTGCTGCCCCTTTCTAGTGGCGCGGAGGCTGCGCGTTCCACACACACTTTCACTCTCACTTCCTCACATAACCAAGCATACACAAGCACTTAACATACATATGTACATATATGTATGTATGTGTATGTATTTTTTAATTCAATTTATTTTTTAAAATTCAAATTCTTTCTTGAAGGACAATGTCAGGGGCAAACAGCAGCCACACCCAGGTTGAAGCGATTATCTCCGCTAAAATATCAAAACGTTTCTCCGCGGCTTGAACTTTCACGTATTGAAAACGGCGCAGTTTGTGAATTCATTTTCGTTCTGCTAGCCTGGCGTTCTCAAAGGAGCCCACAGCCCACGGCAGGGCTTAGCGGCTTTTAGCGCATTGAAAGAACTGGCTAAGACGCGAACGCTCCCTTCACCAAATCTGTAAACAAGGTTAAGCGGTTTATTTCCCTTTTTATAACTCCCCATTTTGATGTGGAAAACAACACGAATAGCAACTACTTTGCATTTTCGCATGTCATGTAGCCGGTTAATTTCATAGCAATTGGACAAAAAAGGGAGAAAAGGAACAAACATAAACACAGGTTATTAAAAAAATAGGAACAATGTTTCATAGTGCTTTATACATGTAGTTAAGTAATTAGTAAGCAAAACTATACTATGGCACTACGTATACCTAAGTATACGAATCAGCTAGACCAGAAGAACTCTTCAGTTTCATATAATTTTCCATATAATATATTGCGTATGTTGTGAAATTGTCAGATACTGTACATTCGGAGAATAGAGTGTAAGTTAGACGTATTGCGGTAAATTCGAATAGGTGTTTACCTTTTGTAACCAAAGAGAAAAGTTTCCTGGTTGACGTAAATTTCAGCAGCAAATTTGAATTGAGGGCGCGACCAAGCGATTTGTCAAGGCCGCAGTCCGTCCGGCCGGTTATTGTGTGCGGCCATGCTATGCCTCCCGTGCGAACTGGACAAAAGCGAAAAGAATGGAAAAGTACAATAAACGAAAACGGGATCAGCCCAAATTTCTGCTACCCTGTTTCAAGTTGAAGTATTGACATATTATTACAAATAGAAGTTTGAAATTTGATATTTATATAAATTTCTTTTATTTACAAGCATTTATTTCAAATTTTGAATGAGCTTGAGAGCGAAAGAAATGTACACTTATATTTAAATATACATATACATATATTATTGTATATAATAACTACTTAAATACAATTACTTCGGTCATGGACAATAAAAATAAAAGGCCGCAAACAATAAATTCTGCGTCTATGTCTTTGTCTATTGTTAAAATCCATTTATACTGAAGGTGCTAATAGTATTATGTACTGTGCTTACATATACCGGTTCTACGTAAGTTTTGGATGTGTTTATAAACTTAAAAAATGTTTTCAACTAGCATTCTTATACGCATGTGGAACATGCAAGGGGGCAACTTAAATAGCTATATATATGGTATGCATTTAATTATTTTTTCCATTGGGCTTGCAGATAAAAGCTTATAAGATAGTTACTAACATAATCGCATTAGAGACTTGGAAATACGCCCGAATTATGATATATATACACTAGTTTTAGACGCGTAGCTACACAACCAATCACAGCATAAACACTCTAACATAGCATGCTCATGCCGTGTGCATAACATTGGATCGCAGACTTGGGAAGAGCGCGATATGAATTTCGTAAAAGCTCTTAACGTAAAACCAAAACTTAAGATTACTGGTATGAATATAAACTAACAACTCATTGAGTTTATTGCAGCGTTCTTGTATACATTTAAATATTTTCGAGCAGGTCTAGCTCCTGCTCCAATCTGCAGTAAGTATACAATGCCTATCGTTGATTACTGCATTACTTCGCGAAAGCGTTTTTGCCGCTCCAGGCTCTCGACCTCCGCCCAGCAGTTGCGCATATTGCGGAATAGCTATCAAGATAGAAGGTGAACCGTTTAGATGAATACCAAAGATGCAAAGAGTCGTGACAAAACTAACCTCATCTATCCAATTGTGCTCGGCCAGCAAATCATTGAGTATTTCCGTCGATGTCTTGCCGGGGCACTGCTGCTGCTGCTCTGTTACTCGCTGCGAGCAATTGATAAACAAATTGAACTTCTCATGCGCAATCTTGTGGAAGAGATCCGCACGTGCGGCACAAATACGACACAGCACAATGTCCTGGTAGGATAACAAGGTACAGTCAGTCCATTTTACAATTTCTAAATCTATAGCGCTAAATGCTTTTTACCTTCTCGTACACGATTCGTGCATCTGCAGCTATGGTCTGCATGGTGTTTGGATTGTAGGGCTCCCCAAATAACAGGAAACGAACTGCAATGCCTGGTTGATGGCAGCCAGCGCAATTCTTCTGGGTCAAGTTGTTCTGCACCCACTCAGAGAACACATGACACTTGGGCCACGTCTCGATTGATGAAATAATGCTACGTGTCCATGGAGTGATAGCCAACAATTTCCGCTTGCAATTGTCCATTATATTGTCTATTACACGCACGCTTCCCAGAAAATAGTCATCTGGAATTAGAAGATGCAATCAAAGTACGCTTTTGTTGTAAATGATTTGTAGGGATCTACCTTTCTCACGCGTTATCTCCGAGAAGAAGCTAGGATCGAGCGCTTGTGATATCATGGTTTGTATGTAGATTTCGAAATTGTCCCGATAGGACAGAAAATCCTCCATTATCTTTTCGATAAACTGCTCGGTATCATCGGCAAGCAGCTCAGACCGCATGAATTCCACAATGGTCTCCGTGTGAGACTGCAGCTGTATGCGTACGGGTGCTTTGAGGTAGAGTTTCTTTGTTTCAAGATTCCACGAAGCGTACTGTGGGCACAGAAACAACATTTGGGACTTTCAGGATAGAAATATTGGTGATTTCATTTTACCTTCGACATGTTGCGGTAAAAGGTTTTGCCGTTCTGACGAAACGGCTCATACTTTTGCAAGATGCACTTGGAGTCCACCTGCCAAATGGTCGGCCAGTCATTAACCAGATCCGAACGCAAAACGATAAAGTCTCCAGTCTGTGCACGAGAAGAGAGAATATTATACTTTAAGAATACAATACAGATAGATACGCCAATCTATAGCCTACTTTAAAGTTCTCGGCTGTGGATGCAGATGCCGTCCCCGCACTGCTATAGCTAACGGCTGCCCCACTCTGCAGATCCTGCTGCGGATTATAGCCATCGGTGGAGCCATGCATCTGCTGCTGCTGATGTTGTTGCTGTACCTGCAACTGCTGCAGCTGCTGGTGCTGCTGCAAATGCGTTGGTGGCTGACAATATGTGTTCTTGCGCGGCGTTCCTTTGATGCGTCGCGCTGCCTTGCGCTTCCCATAGCCCTTGCCGTCGTCACTCTGTGTGATACAGTTGGATGAGGTATGGATTAGATACGCTAGCGACAGCGGACGAGCAAGCAAGATACACTTACATCTTCCTCCTGCGGCGTCCAAACGGGATCCGTGTCCGAGTCAGTGAACTCCTCTGGCTCACCAACCGCGCCGCCCTCCCCAATTGTTGATGTATTCAAGAGAAGTGCGTGCATGCTGCTCTCCTTGGCCTTGCGGGAGCATTGCTCCCGACGTGGCGGCAAGTTTAAAGGGTCTGTGGAGAGCACAAAAGTAGTTAGCAAGCATCAAAGTGGTGGTGGTGGTGGTGGTGGTGGTGGTGGTTGTAGTGGTAGTGGAGAGCGAAACGGCAACCAAAATGGCAATGCATGCCACGCGCGGAACAACAACTACGTCAACAACATAAACCCACAGCCGAGAAGCCATCGACGACACTGCCGCTGCAGCCATTCGTCGTTTATCTCACACAGGTAAATAATAAAAATACAAGTTTTTATTTTTTGATGATTTTTTCTTTTTTTTTTTTTAAATTAATAATATTTGTTCTCGGTATTCCATCTCAAAAATACTTATTCTTTCTTATTTGTTTTGTTTGTTTGTTTTTTTTTTTTTTTTTTTTTT